CTTTAATGAGATGTTAAGATAGTAGAAGGTTATTTTTATTAAGCGAAACCTGTTAACGCGGTAGTTTTATCAAATCAAACAACTTTAGGTAATTATATTTACATGCTATAAATTAATGAAGCTTTTTGTTTCCAAGCAAACAACAATTAAGTACTGTATAATGCACGTGGTAAATATAGAAAAAAAATAATGGTACAAAATTTATTCTTTTCAATTGCATAAAATGTTTTCAGCTCCTGCTCCTGCTCCTGGTAAATCAATTGAGACAAAAAAATGTCAATTCCCAAACGTGGTGTAATAAACAATTATTAGTTGAATGATAGTAATGCCATAATACAATAAGAACGACTAGAGCAATATCCGCCTGTTCGGAGCGTAAATGCCTACACTTCACTCGGAGCGTAGGGTTGTTACCACGGACATATATCTTAATAGACGCTGCAAGTGTACCTCCTTCGCGTGCCCAATGTAAGCTATAAATGCTTAGTTGTCGCTGCTACGCTTCAGAACGCGCCTGCCGTCATCGTAGTTAAACATCAATCGAAAGCGCGAAAAATGCCTAATTGTGCCATTAGAAACTATAAAAATACCATAGCTGTGACACGATGAATAGACAGAGACGTTTCCTTACACAGTTACTTAATTTTATAGTCAAAATATTATGCATAGTTTATTTTAAAATAAATTATTTTCATTTTGAATGAATTTCCAGAAAACAAAATGCAAACGAGTGTGTGTCGCGTGATTCCTAATACATCGCGGCTTTTACTTGGTACGATACACTTGTGGTCCATCTTCTGTGGGCCATGAATATCCAACCAGCGATACTTTCGTATAATGCATTCAATTTTGTGGTAAGGCCGCTTCGTCATGTTTTGGGTCAAATTTTACGGTTAAGCGATGTTCGCTTGATGCAACACATTTCTCAATTCTGATCGATTTAGGAAACAAAGGGATGATAATTCTTAAGTCCTTGGAAAATGTTATAAAAATATTCTGTAGTATTTTTTAATTTTCTGGAGCAATTTTTTTCAAAAGGAATAAAGGACTTAATAATATCATTCTGTTATTATTTTACTGTATTAATATTTTACGGGTTCTTATAATCAACAAATACTTGAAAAATTATTATTCTAAACACGTGTCGCGTCCACGTCTTCGATTTAATCAATCGCTTTAGTACCGAAGGAGGTTTCCCATCACTAAATAGCGCTTGCGACGTCATCAGAGGTACAAAAACATGGCTCGCTTGGTTTTCGCTAATATAGAGCGCGGTGCTTGCGGCGTCTAATTAGATATATTTATGTCTGTGATTGTTACATTAAAATTTTTGTTGTACCTACGGGTTGTAAACACAATTTGTAAAATTTAAGGTGTTGACCACAGTATTCTCGTCTAATTAAAATGACCTTTGTTAAATTCAGTAGCTACTTACATATTGATATTTATATATACCAGCATCGCGGATTGACGTCTTGATTATTTAGTACGATTATGAAATAGAAATCAAATATCAGACAATTAAGAATTTGTGGCACTCTTTTTCAACTACTACAAACAACAATAAACACGTTTACTATTTGATGTTTTTTTTAAACACCGAGTAACCGCTTCAATTCTGTAATGAATGACGGGAGTGATGACCCATGCGAATGTATGCATCGGTATTCCGTGCAGAGCGGTATTTTTAAATTGCAAACTTCGAAATATCGCCGAATATTCCTGGAATTACGGCCTATCTTTTTTGAAGAGGGAGTAAAATGACATTTGAAAGGTTGCCAGTTTTCATACAGTTTTAAATAGTTATGTTGTTGTTATCGATAGCTTTATCGATAGATTGTGGAAGAGGATAAATTTTTGTCAAAAATTACTGAGTTGTGAATGTTACGACGCTCTAATGATTACTGATTGCGTATTGCCTTTATTCTTATTTTAACCAACTGGCCTAATAGTATCGAGATCCATTTTTTTCACATACATTATAAAAAGGACAGGTGGTTATGATAATCTGTGTTGAATTAAAATGAAAATCTTTAAAATATATCTCCACTTTATATTTTTCATAAACGTAGTCCTAAATACAGTGTATGCATGTGTGAACAGTAGGTATTCATAAGAGTAGGTCTCGTTTGTATGAGCTATATGCTATGAAAACTTATAATAATAATTCAAATTTCATAGAATATGTTAGAATTTATTCGAAAATATTTAAAAAAGTTTGTGTAGCTGCTAAGGTTAAGTTTCACAGCGACAAAATTAGACAATCGATAAATAAATCTAAAACTACTTGGAGCATAATAAATAAAGAGTCAGGCAGGGTTAAACCACAGGATAGAGATATAGTTTTAGAATTAGACAGCAAACTTATAAAATCTAAAGATAAAGTAGCCCAAGCTTTTGAATCGTTCTTTTCGGAAATTGCTGTGAACACTACAAAATCATTAAATTCCTCCCCTTCATTTGCTATTGATCTCCTAAAGGAAAATGTTAACGTTTGTGGCAGTTTATTTAATTTTCGTCATGTTAATCCACAAGACATCATAAAAGCTTTTAAGTCAATACATGTTAAAAAAACTGAAGATCTCTGGGGCATATCAACTAAAGTTATAGACTCAGTTATTAATCTCATTTCCCCACAGTTAGCTGTAGCTTTCAATAGGTGCGTTGACGAAGGTGTTTTTCCCAATTTAATGAAATACAGCAAGGTTATTCCTTTATTCAAAAGCGGTAGGAAAGTTGATCCTAGCAACTATAGGCCCATTTCAATTTTACCAGCTTTAAGTAAAATATTCGAAAAGGTTATGCTAACTCAATTACTGTCCTATTTCGGTAGGAATCATATTTTTCATAGTGAACAATACGGGTTTACTAGTGGTAGATCGACTAGCGATGCGGGGGTAGCGTTACTAAAACACATCTTTGATGCTTGGGAAAGGTCCCAGAACGCTATTGGTGTTTTCTGTGACCTCTCAAAGGCATTTGATTGCGTTGATCATAATACTCTTATTAGGAAGCTGGAACATTACGGTGTAAATGGCAAGGCGTCGAAACTTGTCTCGTCATATCTCAACGGTAGAATTCAGAAAGTAGACATAAATGGAGTGACTTCTTTGGGTTCTCCAGTAAAAATGGGTGTTCCGCAGGGCTCAATACTTGGACCTTTCTTATTTCTGATTTATATTAATGATCTGCCATTCTTTGTTAAGGACCATTGCGAAATAGTGTTGTTTGCTGATGACACATCCTTGATTTTTAAAACAGACAGACATGACAATAACTATGACCGTATTAATGATACCCTCTCTAAGGTAGTTTATTGGTTTAAGGCTAACAATTTATTGCTTAATGCCAAGAAGACAAAATGTGTTAAATTTGAATTACCTAACGTAAAATCGACTAGTCCAAGCATAGAAATAAACGGAGAAAAGTTAGACCTTGTTAATAAAGCAGTCTTCTTGGGAGTGACCTTAGATAGTAAACTTCAGTGGTTTCCACATATATCGTCCCTGGCCAGCAGATTAAGCTCCGCTGCATACGCAGTCCGCAGAATACGTGAGCTTACCGATGTTAGTACTGCTAGACTAGTTTACTTTAGTTACTTCCATAGTATAATGTCCTACGGGATTCTCATGTGGGGTAAAGCGGCAGATATTCAAACCATATTTGTATTGCAAAAACGAGCGATTCGTTCTGTGTACCGTCTAGGCTCTCGGGTATCTCTCAGAGAAAAGTTTAAGGAGACTGGTATCATGACTGTGGCATCACAGTACATTTACTCAAATATTTTATATGCCCGTAAAAATATACATAATTTCAATAAGAAAGAAGATATCCATAATATTAACCTTAGAGCTAAGTCCAAACTCATGGTACCACGATTTCGTTTAACCAAGGTAAACAACTCTTTTATGGGGAACTGTATACGTTTTTACAATAAGATTCCGGAGCATATATTAAGTTTATCATTTCCTAAGTTTAAAAACTACATTAAAAATATTTTGATCGAAAAATCATATTACAAAATTGAAGACTACGTGTTAGATAAAGATGTATGGAAAGACGACATGGCTCCAGAATCCACACAAATTTGATTCAAAGTGTATTCCATAGCATTTAAGTTTATTTGAAAAGAGCAATCCCTAGAGTTTCTTGCTCGTTCTTCTCAGGGAGGTCAGCGTAGTGAACGAGCAGTAGCTTAAATGTGACGTTTTCAAGTGTAAATGTATTTTACCTATGGAATAAATAATCTTTGACTTTGACTTTGACTTTGACTTTGAACTTATAAAAATTGACAATTCAAATGAACCTGGGCTCAATAATTGGATGAATAATGGGTCGTGCATGATTCAAATGAAACAAGAAGAAGTTCAGCTATTTATTCCATAAGCGTGACCAATATTCAGTCGATAATCGATAGAATATTTATCGACTCATTAGCTGCTCGCAAGCAGGCAACACTTTTGCGCAATTAACTGTCATTTTTCTCCATTTTCACAAAAGACAGACTTTATAAATATTATAACATTTTTTTTCTTTTAGAGTCGCTTTTTAAACAAATATACTTCAATAATTATTTTAACATCAAATTACATGTAACAGTCACAAACTAATATATTTTTATAATCACAATAGCTCTATCATAGCATTTATCTTGTTTACAATATATTTCATAAAGTGCCAGGAAATTGTAACACACCTTCGCGCCGTAGGGATATGCCACTGTAATTATCATAACTGAAAAAGAGCTAATTATATAAGGGATGACACTTGCTTTGAAAAAGTTTTATCTAAATAATTAGTAAAATCTAAATAAATCTAAACAAAGTCTAATTTATGTCTAATTAGCTTAATGTAACTAGTAGTGAGAGATTTAATTACTTAGAACCTATTTTATACAATTTTAACATTTACACTTCAAAGCCATTAAATATTAAATATTTTATTTACAGTTTATAAACTAAGCCGTTAATGTATTTTAATTCGTTATTAACCTACTGGTGTACAAAATTATAATCTACAATATTTGAGTTTTGTCTATAACAAAAGAGGTTTTTAAAAGGACACAGGGTGTTAACGTTAATTATTGGGAAGGGGATCATTCCACCTAATACATAAGTACGAAAAATTTTTGTTTACTTTCATAATATATTTTCGTCGACTGACATTTGAACCTTTGACATCAAACAGATAATAATTTACGCTTTTTCTGAGGGGTTCCCCATAGTGAATATTGCTGGTATTAATGGTATGGAACCACCTCCTTTCGGGTGTGACGCAATTAATTTAACATCCTGTATAGGTAACTGGCAATTTTTATGACCTTATGTATCGCCTCTCGCAATGTGTTTACCACGTTGCGGGTATTTCAATATTCGTAAATGTCCATAGGCGTCGGTCGCCACTTACTCATTTCAGAACAGCACAGCGGTGACATATGTCGAACGGTGAAGCGTACGTGGATAAATAGTAGTAAAAACGGAGTAAAAAAAAAACGCCACTACAACTTATAGCCTCTAGTTTATTTTATTAAGCTAAAAATTACAAATGATTTAATTGTCAATGTTCGCTTTAAAATTAATTAGGTAATTACAACCTAAGTTCTTACAAGTGTATACACTTATGAAGTAAGAAACCACATCAATATTACAAACTTTGCACCTACGATTTACCAGATTTTAGAAAAACAGAGCAGATGTTTGTCTGTTACTAGTCAACACTCGTAGATCCACTGAGAAACAAGTAAAACATATGAGATACACGAAGTAAGCACCTCACTTTCCTTTCACATGATAACAAATTCCAAGAACACGTAACTAATTGGTTAAACAAACTTTACGAGTTTGGCGATAATAGGAGATAAGGCGATTGTCACACTAATAGGCGGAGCGATAAGCGGAGAGGAGTTGCCAGCGGCTGCTAGCGCGCTAGCGGCGGCTTCAACACATTGGCGATACGCGAGGTGTTCTAAGCATGTAATCGCGCAGAAGTGTTGATTTGCACACGCTCCGTCGCATGAATCTGGAGCGTCACGTTTGACGTTGTACGCTCGTAAGTACCTATACAAAGGATTTATTAACACAAGTATGTATACGGCAAAATAATAAATAAAAAAGCACATTGAGAAATTTGCTACGTTATGGTAACAGTCGTTGGTTCGAGTCCAGTTATTGAAGGAATTTTGTGTTTGTTCAATCTTTGTATAATATATAATAATAATAATAACAAATACGTAGTATTTTATGATGATATTAAGGTTATAATCTTATTCCCAAAGATAATTAATTCGAATATGTTTTACTGCAATAAATCTGAGAACCAAATACCCTATTTATTACGCTCAAGTAATGAAATTAATGGCGCAATTTGGAACAAAGTGGAGCATTTATCAATAAACATGTTCCGAATTATGAAACTGCAAATTTCAATTTACAACTTCTAATAGCCTTTACAAACTTACTTGTGGAACATTGCAGCTTCCAGCGGTATGCCGAAGCGCAGTTTCTCGGCAAGATTATGCAGTGAATACGCTGACACGTCGTGAAGGCTGTAATACTGGGTCAAGTTGTATTCTGGTTGCCATTCAGGGATCGCCGCACGATTTGACGCCGCCAGATCTAAGTAATACTGAGTGTAGTCCAAGACCTGCAATACAATTTTAACAATCTGTCGCTATTAGGAGAATATTCCTGCGAGCGAGCTTAATACAAACTAAATTTGATTCTATATTGGATATTAACTAATCAAACATATACAAACTATAATCGAGAGATAAGACTAGTCAATGCGCCGTTAAATTATATGTATTAGCATAGTTTCCACATACGTCAGCTAAAAAATTCGTTAATTGCATAAACAGTCAAATTTTATGCATGCATTTTTTCAAGGTGCGGTTCACTCTATAGGTGACACATTATAGGTCAAGGAAATAATTATTTAATGGTGTTAAGACATGAAGCATTATTTATATATCATTTATTTTATATTATATTTTATATTTATTATTATATTTTATATTATTATCATTAGTATGATAAATGTCATTTAGTATAATAAACAATTGACATAACAACTTTCAATACCTAATAGTGTAATTTGTATTTTATTTAAAAATATTTCAGACATAATATTTATTGAGTGTAATGTTTTATAAATAATTATAATCAGACTCCGAAGTTTATCCGAAAACGAGCGCAGCGATTAGGAGAGGAGGCTTGCGAACACAACATTCATCGCTTGTGCATCGTGTTCGCGAAGCAAACGCGCCGCATCACCCTTTTAATAAAGGGAACTAATAGTAAAATATGGTTATATACCAAAAAATAGTGATAACACAAACATAAAGAATTAATCTTGTACATCTGATAATACTTTCCTAGTAGAACTGCTACCATAACGATACAAGAAACGCGAATACCACGGAAGTTGCAGACGTAGCGCCTAAATCATACCCAGTGAAAATGGATAATTTGCTGTTATATCAATCATTGCACACCTAATATTTCATCTTTCCCATACATTTTGAAGCACCATGAATGTAGGAAATATGTTAGATTTCTTATAATCTTCACGTATTAAGCGTTATTATTCGAATGAATATAAAATATGAAATGCCCAGTTTCATCAGCATTCGCCTTTACCATTATATTTATTAATATACAGGTTTATTCGAAAAATACTGACATATTCTACTATATTTACACGATACGAACAAGTCGTGCGCCTGATGGTAAGCGACACGCCTGTCCATAACAGTTGCAGTGCCACTCAGAGCTTTAAATCGCAAAGATCTGAGGGGCACTACCACTGCGCCCGTCACCCTGAGACATAAGTTGATAAGTCCCATGTGCCTGTAACTTCACCAGCACCGTTACCCTTCAAAACCGGAACACAGTAACACTGACATTACTGCTTGGCGGCAGAAATCTTTCACATGGAGCTCTACTATTACTAAATTAATTAATTAATTTTTAGGTACAATCCCTTACTGTACTGAAAATGAAGATAAACGGTACCATTTTTCTTCATTTGCAATATGTAATTTACTCAATACAAAAATGACATGAATACATTCAAACACGCGCATGTTACCTATAACTCTTTGACTTGACATTGCTTAGATAAAAAAGAAGAATCCAAACACAATGCGATAAATATACTCCCTATTATAACCCTCAAGTTCAGACTTGATAAGACATTATGGCATTTGTGTCAAGGGTCCTTTATGTCTTTTCCAAGAAAAATGAGCAATAATCAATAAGTATTCCACTTGGTAACATTTTTGTTGTGACTATTTCTATAACAGGTGAGAAATTAATCTTCTACGTGGGAGAATTCCAAAGATGTGATATTTCAGAAAAGAACATTTATTTAATCATTATATTCGCCCACGCGATCAATACACCTGTGCCATTTTGATGGAAGATCATTTATTTATTAGATTGGGAATTTACATTCTTTAGTTCCAATTTTATGTTGCTTTCCGGGAACTAAATAGTTTTTCATGTTGACGGAGGCCGTATCCGGTAAGTATAGAGTGTGCTTAAGCTCATATAAGATGGACTTGGTTTGTTCTACAGAATTCAGCAGTATATTCTCTGCAGATTTTGCCATCATTTTTCGCATTTCTTCACAATAACGATCAGATGTCATGGTTGTATGAAAACTAAGAACTCTACGGTGTAATCTCCGCGACGTGGTCACCAAACCAGTGATATTCTGTGGACTAGTTTCTTTTTCAAACACTGTGTTGATCATTTATGACTATCTTAATGAATCCATATAATATATACAGCAGCAGAGCCTTGAGAAAGAGTTCGTCCAGGGAAGTTCTGCTACCTTACCTATTTTTGCCGCCAACAGTAATAGGAGCATTACTGTGTTTCGGTTTTGAAGAGTCCTTACTCTTCAAAACCCGCTTGTGGGAGGCCAGGAGACCGGTTTGCTACCGTAGAATACGACGCACAATCACACTTCACCAATGGTGAGGATGCTCGAAGGACCAAATGTTGGGGCTCGTGCCCAACGTATGTAATGTAAAATGATCGTAAGAATGTATGTTGATGGGAATTGTATGTTTCCCTGAGTACACCGTTCGGTTGAGGTAGGTTGATGCAAAATATGTAAGGCACTGTACTGTCCGAAGGTCTTTATTGTACTAAAATTACACGTAATTGTACATAAAATGTAAGCGTGACAATGCGCGCGATCAGCAACATATTTAGGTTAAGTTACGACATATGTAATGTACTGCTCGTACAGTAATGCTCACATTACTGCGTTCTGTTTTTGAAGGGTAAGGGTGCTGACGAATTTACAGGGACATGGGAATTGTCTATTTTAGTTACAAGAAGACTCATCGAACGCGCACGCGAAGGGTTATGAGTAAATCTGCTGCTGTAATTTCACCAACACCCTTGTGTTGGTGAAATTACAGGCACATGGGACTTGTCAACCTATGTCTCAGGTTGACAGGCGCAGCGGCAGTGTCTCTCAGATCTTTGCAATTTAAAGTTCTAAGTAGCACTACTACTGTTATAGACAGGCGTGTAGCTACTATCAATCGCACGATTTGTTCGTCCCGTCACTTGATATTATATAAAAAAAAAATGTTTCATCAAAAATGATTCATGATGATAAAGACAAATTTGCAAGTTGGGTGCAAGCTTCAACACGCGTTGCCCATTGTAGTTCGGACACGTGGCTTATTTGCGAGGAGAAAAATTGCACTGTGGCAACAAGCAAATAAATAACACATAGTGCGTTCGTCAATTATACAACTGACGAGCGCACTGTGTTTTTTAATTGCCAGTCCATGCACGTCTTTAATATTTCATTCGTTTCACAGCGAAAACGAATGAATAATGCAACATTAAATGGAAAACAAAATTTTAGCTTAAGATTTTATTTGAAAAACTTTGTAATCTATACATATATGTATTACACTAAAAAACTATTTCATTTCAAAGTGGCAAGAAATTTATATTATCAGTTTCATAATTTAACACCTAACATAAATACCGTCACATGTATTGTCTCAAACACTGCTTAGATTTAATCTTGTTTAAAACGTCCTAATTTATTAGCTTAAAGGAACATCTTCATATCTACTCGATCCAAATGTATGAAATAGCTCTTTCTGTGATTCCTGAAGTCACCATTGTCAAACTTGTCTGGTTTATTGTACTGAACATTAAACCTATGTCGAGTAATAAATTAGGAATTTTTATAAATAGCAACACAAGGAATAGGAGGTTATTGCACTCACCTTCCCGGTATTGATGTCGAACTTATAAAGCCTTAGGCCAGGATTGGATGAGCCAGCCGGGTCGCGATGCGGACTCACTGACGGCGCCAGTAGCGCCCATGATACTGGCCGATCTTCACAAAAATCATGAACATTTATTATAACAACAATTCCTACCCTTGGTTATAACAATGCCACATTGTGATCATACGTCAAAAGTTTTATAAGGACCTAAAAATAATAGAGAATATATTATTATAAAAGAAATTACTATTAGAAATTTAATTTTTTATTTAATAAAAAGCTTAATGTTTAGTTATTACAAATTTAATAACTCTCCTATTTAAGCAATGATAAAGTAAACGACTAATTTCTTAGAATCTTCAAAACTCTCCTGAAAAGTTGTAATTATGCGGATGTGGCCTTATTACACCACGGGTGCGAATTAAATATAACTCTACTATACTTCGTTTCACATTTTAAACAAAAAGTAAACAATCAATTTACTGACCCGACCATATACGGTTTAGTGATGGCCAATTTTATTGCCAGCTATAAATCATTAATTATTTATATATTTGAATGAATCGATTTGTTTAATTGAGTCATAGTAGCAGTTTTCATTACATAACCTATAAAAGCATATTTAAAATTTCCGAAATCTTAATTTAAAATCCTCCTTTAAATCCTTACACTAATTATATAGGGTGGCCGCAATGGAGATGAAGTAAAGACGAGAAAATATGATGAATAACTATATTACATTTCCACAAAGGTATTTCTTAAACTAAATAATTTTGAGAACGTCCGAAGTTAGGTACGTTATGTCTAAAAGTACTTATACGAAAAAGAGCTTAACTAAAGGAATTTAGTCTACGTCCGATGTTAGGAACGTTGGGCCGAAAAGTGTCTCATAATTATAATTAAAATGACGAGTTTTGTATCGGTCACGTTGCAATGCACGGGGCGCGCGTTCCGGGGTGCGCGAATGCAAGTGCATTGAACTGACGTTTTAGGTATGTGTGTTATGCAAATCTGGATACATAACACACTTAACGATTACAAAAACGATTTTTGTAAAAGTTTAATTGAATGAACTGAGCGTTTTTTTCCGTACTGCACTATGCAGCCATAGACCATTCACACATCTTTAATTAAAATATAACATCCGTTTTTGACTACCGTAAAAATTTTTTAAAAATACGATTTTAAGATGTTATTCAAATGAATATTGTTGGAAAAAGTGATGAAATATCAAGTCAAAATCTTCGAAATATACGTGAGTGTTACTTATTCGATATATTAAGTGATTATTTTAGAAATTCAACCAGAACGCTTTGTTTATATTTCGTTTAAAATGGATACAAACTATACTATTAATACAATTAAACGCACGACTTGATCGTAAGCAGCAAAACAATTTCAACACACTGCATTTCAAATATAGAATGTATTTATGGCATTAACGTTATATTACAAGTCTCATCGTTATATACATTCTCACAGGTACCTTGTAATAAAAAAGTTCCATCAAACGTAGCTGCTTATTATAATTTACAACTTTTACAAATTAATAACTTTAATTTAGCGAAAAAGTAATTTAGTGATTTGAACTGTCACGATTTTCAGGGACTCATTGGACTTTCTTCGAGACCATGGATGTTGCAATACGTCCGAAACGTCGAGGTAAATAAAATATGTTTTGTACATGATTAAGTAAATAATAAAGTAATTTAGTTTCCGATTATTGACTGACTGGAATCTAATATTTTTATGGTGAACTTAAGCGTGAAACACACAGAGAGCGGGTGCGGGCTGGGCGCGGGTGAGGTCGAGAACGAGACAGGTCTAATTCCGTGCGCCCGTCCCGAGTCCGCGCTCGGTGTGTTGTCGTTCATATAATATCTATATGACAAGCTAGTATGACCACCAATAAACGGCCTAAATACACGGAATTAGACCCGCTACGGTCCCGAAGGGTACGGGTCGGTAACAGCACTCTGTGTGTTTCGCGTTTAAGGTCAAAATAGAGTGGATAAACGAATTAATTGCAATCAACTTTATTATTACGTTATTATTTCACCGCCGGCTGAGCGAATTGACAACAAAGAATTGTAACATTTCTTATTGACTTAAACAACGATAAGGTTGTTTCCCTCAACGACTCCCTTACGGTCTTTCCACCGCCGACGCGAGACGAGACGAGGCGAACGAGGATTGAAATTTGTATGGCAAAATTTCAGTTCCCTCCTACCGCATCATCGATGGAAATGGTCTGACGAGGATGTGTAAGGCGAGAATTGACAAATGTGTTGATGTATAATATTGAATCGTATTGCTGCCTGTATAGAGTATGTATTAACTCTGAAACCGAAATACGATTTCTCTTCACGAGCTCGCGATGGATTTTTATATATTATTCAAAATTGTGGGGTACGCACGATTACAGATTTTTTTAAAAGATGGCTTCATCTGATTTTTCTTTTATGAATGATACCATGCCGGACTGCCACGCAGAGGTCCCAGGTTCGATTCCCGGGCCGGGAGAAATATTTGTATAGCCTACATTTATTTCTCTCGTAACTTTGCATGTAATTTGTGTTTGTCTATATGTGTGTCCTTGGCACCCGCGACACAGGGTTTCCCTAGTGCGGGACTATGTTGAGTGTGTGCGTTATTATTTATTTATTAATGATAATAATAATTTACGGGACATGTTACTTCAGCTACGTGTTTATAGCTAAACGAACTGTACAGCACTCTTCACTATACATAATCACAGCGCGAGCTCGCGATTAATATCTACCACGAGCTCGCGATAGCTATTAACGGCAATTTTTGTAGGCCGGCGAGATTTCAATTTTCGTCTCGCCTCACCTGTGGAATAGCACCCATACTCTGACATGTGTATTTACCATGGTCATAGAACACGCGAAAAGTGTCAGCGTGCAAATGTCCGAAGAACTGCCCTGCGATGATCCTTGCGTACTTCCGTATCATATTTAGGTATCGCGCGTTTGCATCAGCAGAGTACGCATCGTACGCGACTCTGGAGTCCGACCCTGGAGCCGCGTGCCCTACTATGTACACCTGGGGACAAAACAAGTAACTAATTAATTAGTATTTGCATCCTGAAAAGCCAGAGTATCATGACATATTATATACAATAAAATAATAATAATTTAACTAAATGACAGGGACATGTCCAGATTTGTAAGACAGGCATGTCATGTACGTATGTATGTATGTTTTAGTTTTGATTTTAATCAGAGGCAGTGTCACGTGCCTTAACATGTGACCAAAACGCAAATTAGTTTTTCGTAGGAAATATCAAATGAAAATAATAAATAATTTATTTTCTGATAACAGTCAATAACAAACATTAATGTACGTAACTATACCAAAAATGAAGTAGTAAATACTTGTTAAAAAAGTAGGAATCTCATTAATATAATCTAATAGACTTCTCGATATTTTACTTTAAAATAGCTTTTAGCTACCAAAATCTCAAAAAAGCCTGTAAGGTAAGCGTTCCATTCTTTGATGGGAAACAATGGGATTGTTCAACTTTCTATAATGTTGAATATTGTTAGCCAATGAATTGATAAACAATGAAAGTCGTTTGCGGAACAATAGGAAAATAAATATTTAAATTGAATTTAAATCCCCTGGCTTTGCGCCACAGGGCAAAAACAAATTGAATTCCTAACTCTCACGTGACACAATATAACCTATTTTAGCCGGAAAACACTACTCTCAGATTGGAATAAATATACGCTAGAACTACGCAAGAACATTTTTCATATTATGACATATTATATGAACAATATTTGTTTCTGATAAATTCTTGAAATCGCGCTTGAAGCGGACCATTATTATATACCATCTATAACACTTTACTTTCTCGAGACCTCGCATCAATATTACATAGTTTATTAATCAGAGTACGTTTGACATTCAATGGGGAGACCTTATAACTTATTCTGAACATGAATAAAACTACTAGGTAACATTAAACATTATTTTTTTACGTTCTTAATTACTATTTCTTTAACATTCTTTGAGTTTTACCTATATGTCCTCAATTTTACTTAATTCAACAATAAACTTACAGATTGCCGCCATTATCTTTCATTTTGTCACCAGCTCGAATGTCCTAGCGTTCTCATTTTACATACTTTGCGTTAGTGCAAATGATAAAAATAGGTGAAAACGTTTGCTTTTAAAAAATGCTATCGTTTATGTCAGCTGTTTGTTTTAAAAAACATCTTAGCACCAGAAATAAATAAAAAATACTTTTTCTACTCCTGTACTTTAATGTGTCAATTATAATTTCATAAACCATAATATATCATAAAGGCGCTCTTTTTAGTTTGAATCAAATTCTGTTGTCTATGATACACGCCAACGAGCAGAAAAATTTAAAGTGCTGTTCACAGAACCATAATTAGTTTCGAAAAAAGAAAGTCGCATTTTTGGTAATTAAAATATCAATTAGGACGCTACTCAAATGCTCTGCCTCCTGCATTAAATTGGCCTAAATGTCTTGCAACCGGGCCATAAATCTTTATAAAAATATATTAATAATATAACGCACACACTCGACTTAGCCCCGCACTAGGGAAACCCTGTGTCGCGGGTGCATGGACACACACATAGTCAATTACACCCAAACTCACGAGAGAAATTAATGTAGGCCATGCAAATATTTCTCCTGGCCCGGGAATCGAACCCGGGACCTCTGCATAGCAGTCGCCGTATGGTACCGTATGGTAGGTATGGTAGCCGTTCTGCCACGAAGGCAGTTATTGGTTAAAATATATGCAGTACTTGGCCAGTTCTATTCTATCTCTTTGGTTTCTTGTTCTGAAGCGTTTGTTTGTTTGGTTTGTCTAAATATATGAAGAGGCTATATGGTGGAACCTTTGCCTACCCTAATAAATGGGATATTTTTTTTTTAAATGCGTTTGTTGTCATGGATTGTTAACAATACATGCATTAAATGTTGGTTCTAATTCGTATTTTTATTTACTTGTGAAAAAAGGATTGTATGCAATCATTATATAATTAGTTCTTTTAAATTTCGTACCTATTACTTAGGCCCAAAGCCTCGTAGCCTAAACACGGTTCTCGACTTTAAGAACCCTCATTATGCAACGATTGCATAAAATATTATTTCTAAAGAGAAACTAAAGAGGTACACAATTCGTTACTTGTGTTAAACGTCACGTTGCATAATATGTTAAGACTACAACTGAAAGTAACTTGTTACGGCGTAGTTGCACCAATGTCTACGAGACGCAAGCAACGCCTACGAGAAAAAATAATTCCCCATGAACTAGGTAACAAAAAAATAATAACACAAAAAAGGACACCAATGTTTACTGAACCGGAATGAGAATCTTGACAAATGCTTGGCATTATTTTTTCCCCTTAAACCCAAGCCGTAGTTCATAATTTCCGCCAACAATGCACTTAAATAATAACAAAAGGCAGTCGTAACACAATATAAACATACAACTAATTCTCGTCCGTGCGGCTTTCCCTCCAACGTTCCATTGTATTTACCGCTTCCCTGTCCGTATCAAATCACATTACTTCTGTAGAGCATCACAGACTAAGTAACTATCAGTTGATCACACGTTTAAATGTAATGTGAACAATTGGATGAATATTTGTCACTCAATCACATTAAAATGTGTTGATAGATTTGAATATAATTTTGAAGAGAGATATTAAAAATGCTAATAAAATCGTAAGAAAAAGTGGGCGAAATACGAGGGCGTTGAAGGAACAAAAAGATTGAGCTAAGGGAATAACAAATGTTGGACGCACGATGCATGACCAAACAACTTATTAAGTTTATTGTGTTATTATGGGCTAGGTTCGATTGCAACAAATTGACAACAGTTTGTCAGTTTGTCAGTTTGCAGTTATAGTTTACATGTTTATTTTTATTGAGGATTTTTGAAAATTTTTCTTTTCTGTAAAAAACTGTATAATTTATGGCAACATAATATTCAGGTGGAAGTTATAATAATAATATTAATAGCTTTATTTCTGACCTTAAACAACAGTAAAAACTTAAATATTAGCCTCCTTCTTATACAATTTCTATTTATTTTTATTTTAACTATGTATTAGTATTTTCCTTACAAGTATGGAGATAGATAGCTAAAATATTATTTGTAGGTATTTATTATATACCGTGTATTTTGCTGCTGTTCTATATAAGGACCGCTTTTTCAGCGGTAAAAGCATCCTCCAGCTCCTTATACTTTTCTCGGTCTCTAGCGGCTCTACTTTATACTTTGCCAGCTACTCTTACGATGTCATCACACCATCTTTTATGTGGTCTTCCAGGTTTTACGCTTTCCATGTATTGGGTACCAATTGTACTGCCATTATGTCTCTTCATTGTAGATCATTGGAAGGTTATAATACACTGTTTGTTAATATACAGACAAGATTTGATTACAAGTATACAGTCTCTATATTTTAATAAATAAAACTTAATACCAATCAAGTAATCATTGTTTATTTTAGTCTTTCGTTTTAGTTTATTTTTGCCTATCGTCATGTCTATTTTTATATACTTAATGGAACATTAATAATCTCATGACGTAGTTCATTATAAGTACGCAAATCTCTTGACAATTGTAGTCTGTGTCATCATATCGCAGTTGTTACCATTTGTAACCGTAAGTTATTGCGGCCTATTGCAATTATTCATATAGCTAACACGGAAATTCATATCATTGTGTACAACATAGCGTATTATATTCATTGCAACTATATTGCTAAACTGTAAAATAAAGTTGTCAATGGTTTATTTCAGCTCATGGTAACAGCTATGTTTTGCATTTTATTAGACCGATACGCTTTATCTGGGACGATATCGTATAAATTGTGACGCTAGTTTCTATGCAATGATGATGGTAATTGACAATTGAAAAAGACAAAAAAAAAAGAACTTTTGCTGGAGAAGAATCAGAGGCAGTTCTGTAGGTATCTCAATAAGAGAGAGTACGGGTACTACCCTCTACTGTACTCATACAAATATGTTTTAGTTATGGTAGGGTGTGAGACATTAGAGTTTAGGCGAAAAAGAAATCTATTCATACATTGCAATAAGATTGTATAAGTGATATAGTAGTACTTCAATCTATTCGTTTGTTTGTGCCTCAAAATTATACGCGATTATGTGTTTGGCTCCGACTTCAACTATTTGCATCCCCAGACGGTGTTCGCACGAACCACGCCCGCAACTCCCCCACACCTCAAACCTTTGCCTTGCTCAATAGTCTCTTGGACGTGGTCCATGATGCCGATGTCAGAGAACAAAAAGTAAAGAGAACGGACACTCTCCGCCCCTCTTTAGCTTTAAATACCGCACCACGCCCCGCACATTGCCGGTCACGTTGACTGAACGACAACAAGGCTGCCAGCGAGCCGCTTTCGTGCGAAGACGGCTTTGATATTTGAATAAAATTTTCATTTATTCATTATGAAACTTGTACGTTAATATAAAACATCATTTTACGTTACTATTTATAATGGTGGTGAATTGTGCTGTGTACGACTGTTTATCATCATTTTCCGAAAGATGAAACGAAGTAAGTAAAAAAAACTTATGTCTGATTCAGTTATTGTTTGCTTCATTTATTTACTGCAGAGTACTATGTGTATGTATAAAAAATACAGATTTATTATATCAATATAATGAGACGCCATGACTTCGTGAACTAGTAGACAAGGGTTCTCGAATTTTCAATTCATTTTGCCGATAAATATTACGCAAATAGCGAATATACCTAATTAATGATGATCAACTTGGACACGCAATTTCAAATACCTTGGTTACCTTATTTAAAGGTGCCCAAAATATAACATTTTAAGTGCTTTTAATGTATGATTTTTTTTAATCTTCAATATTACTCTAGTTAGTGAATTTATGAAAAATATGATATTATATCGACATAAATAGACATGTGTAATTATTAGGATTCTGAATTCTATTAATAGAATCATAGATAATAGATTCGCGTTAGCATTTTCGCTATGTTGCCGCTCTGATCACGTAACGTAAT